AATGATACATGTAACTGCTACGGTAGTAAAAGGATCCGATTTTTTTTCAAGAAAAGAGATATTAAAAAAAAAAGAAAAAAAAAAAAGACAATGAGTTCGAATCGCGATGGAATCCGATGAACACACCAACCATTGGGAGCAAAAGGGAAGTTAAAAAAAAAAAAAAAAAAAAAAAAAAAAAAAAAAAAAAGAAAAGAATGGAAGAAAATCGATCGGAAACACATAACACCCACAACGTTGATTGTTCGAATTTCTCAAAAAAAGTCGCGACAGAATCTATGAAGAGTATATAGCAGAGCAGAAAGCCACGTGGAAGTCTTTCTGCATAGGAAAGCCACGTAGAGGAAAAAGCCATGTGGCTTTCCTAAAACCGAAAGGCTGCCACGTGGGCTTTCCTACAACAGAAAGCCTGCCACGTGGCTTTCCTACGACAGCAAGGCTGCCACGTGGCTTTGCTATAACAGAAAGACTGCCACGTGGCTTTCCTATCGAGCATACAGCAGAAAGCACGTGCCTTTTTCCTATAACCGATAGACTGCCACGTGGCTTTCCTATCGCGCATACAGCAGAACGCCACGTGGATAGGAACGAGCGCTGTGGCCGAATCATCGAGACCGTCACTTTGGCCTCAACTCCGGTCCGATGCATTGCACTTCTCTCCTGTGCATGTCTCCCCTTACACAAACAACACAGTCGCTAGATGCAAATTGCATTTCTGACCCTCGAGTTCACGTGTACTTTTCCTTTCGAGTTAACAGTGGCTAGATGCATTGCCTTCAAAAAAAACACAAAAGTTATGGCGGTGTATTTTTCCTTTTGAGTTAACGTGTAATTTTAATTACTAATTGATCCAGTCCACAAAATATACAAAGCACTTCACAAAATTGCAAGAGTTTTGGAAACAAATAATAATAATAAAAAAATTTGCAAGAAGTGCCCTCCTCTACTGTGCTTTCTTTTATGTATGGGTCTCGCTCCACCACTCACGAAATGTGCCAAATGAGAATGAATCTTCTGCAAGAAAATGGAAAGATACATTGCCATGACTTTTGTCTCTTGTGCATGTGGTGAGTAGTGGAGCGAGGCCCCATGTAAGGTCAGCGCTTAAGAAGCAGAGCGAAGATGAGCGTCTTTGAAAAAGAAGGGGCGAAGGGTAAGCATTAAGCCTTACGGCCTCGTCACACCCGCTGTCCAAACGGAAAAAGTACGAGTGCATCTCGCCCAGAAAGTGGTCAGATGCATCCGTTATTATTCGTAGCAATCGATCGATGCATCTAGCCACTGCCTGCAGGAACATGCAGTCGTACTTTTTGCATTACGACAGTGGGTGTGGCCAAGGCCCTTACTTGAAGAAATCGTGCCACTCCAGGATCTGGAAAGCATGACAAGGGAGGACCAGAGGAGGAGCAGGAGGACGACAACGACGAGGAGGAGGAAAGGAAGGGGCAAGAGGAGGAGGAGCAGGAGCAGCAGGAGGGGCAAGAGGAGGAGCAGGAGGGGCAAGAGGAGGAAGAGGAGGAGGAGGAGGAGGAGCAGGAGCAGGAGGAGCAGGAGCAGGAGGAGCAGACGAAGAGGCAAGAGGAGGAGGAGAGGAAAGGGCAAGAGGAGGAGGAGCAGGAGGAGGAGCAGGAAGAGCGACAGGAGGGGCAAGAGGAGGAAGAGGAGGAGGAGAAGCAGGGGCAAGAGGAGGAGGAAGACGTGGAGGGGGAGGGGGAGGAGGCGGAGGACGTAATCATCGGGGGGGTGCGATAAAGGGGGAGAACGATAACCGGTTCATGCGATTTCTAAGCAGAGCGCTTCAACAACCGCTGAGTCTCTTTAACCACCACGATCAGTATCGCGGTATCTAGACCGAAAGTTGGACCGAATACAGCTCTTGAAGGTAGAGGAGTGCTACCATCATCTTTCACAACCAACCCAGCTTTAAGGAGGGCTGCGCTTTCTCAGTTGGCCCGCTGGATTCACGACCTAACGGCGACAAGGGGGAAGGGGTGGGAGGGGGGGGGGGGTTCGTTTTTAAACCATTTGCGATGGACATCATGGAGAGATAGCTCCGCATATTTTTATCAATTGTCGGGCAGTCGTTGATGCTTAACCACATCCGGGTTTAAGGCGGATTATCACTTACAGTGTGTAATCAGTTAGGTAGGGGATTCTGCAGACTGTTTTTGAGGGTTCAGCCTCTACTGATTGATGAGTCAGTTGGTGAAACAACTCCGACGAAACAGTTTGTCACAGCCCCTCCCTCGTTTCTTGTCCTCTTCTCTTCTCCCTCTCCGCCTACGGTTTACATGAGGGCAGTTCTGTTTGACTACGCAGTTCTGTTTTAAACAGACTGTATATATCGTCACACCGTGTATCGGAGCGTAAAGGCGAAAAAAGACAAAACACAAAAAAAGGAAAGAAAGGAAGGAAAGCTCCGCCTATTCATCACCTCTTCTTACGTACAAGGCCGGCCACGTATATATATATATTGTCACAAAAATATCAGAGCGCAAATGCGAAAAAAAGAAAGAAAAAAAGAAAGAAAAACAGGAAAAAATGAATTCAGTTTTTTATCTTCTTCCTTAACTCCCCCTGTTCAAACCCTCTTGCGTACAAGGCCGCCCACGTGGATGTAGGTTGAGCCGCGGCTGCCCCCACCCCCGTCTGTCATATCGACCCACTTGCACACAGCCAAAGGCAAAGAGGCAAAGAAAAAGAGGAAGGGAACAGCCAAATATATATATATCGTCACATGAATATCAGAGCACAAAGGCGAAAAAAAAAAAGAAGAAAACAAGATTTTTTTTTTTTTTTTTTTTTTTTGGTCACCCTGTGAATCGGAGCTCGTAGGCAGAGAGGGAGAAGAAGACAACAAAGGAGAGGCTGTGACATAGTTTTCTGTCAGAGTTTCATCGACTCGTAAAGATGACGACTAATTCTTATATCGCCGCTTCTCCCCTCCCCTCCCCTCCATCGAACACCCCAGTGTACGTCTCCTCCTCCCTTTTTTCCCCCTGCAATTAAATCTCCTCCTTCCTTGCCTTAACGCTATTGGAAAATAATTTCAAAAAAGAAGTTTAAAGAATTCTTTTTAAAAATTTAACGACATTTTGACGAATTTTCGACGAATTTTTTAACGATTTTTTGACGAATTTTTTACGAATTTTTTACGAATTTTTGACGAATTTTCTACGAAATTTTAACGAATTTTTGACTTTTTAAAGAGCTATAAATAAAACCCTTCTCAGAAAATCGATCTATAGCAGGAAGTAATATAATACTGATTAGATAAGGCAGCTTGTCGTCCTTATCTATAGATGGATCTATCCACAAGGGGTCCTGACACGATCTAAAATATTTTACGATCTAAAATATTTTTACTCATCGAGATGGAAGTTCGGCTAGCTAAAAAAAGGGCATGCCGGTTCGGCTGTATTTGGGGGAACTTTCGGTCTTGATACGTACAGCTAAATAAAGACAAAAAACCTATTCGGCTATCTACAGCTTGAGCTAGGGATAGGTAAACAATGTGATGTGCTCCCGTCTTCACCCAAATATAACGCCCGGTCATTATAGCTGTATTTGGCGCAACTTTCAGTCCAGATACGGCCACAATCACCGAGCGTTCTATTCGGGTGAAGACGGGTAGTCATCTGTGGCTGCTACCGTCTTGCCCTGTACCTGGACTGCAAGTTGCCCCAAATACAGCTATACTGCTCGTGCGTTCTATTCGGGGGAAGCGCGTAGAGGCATATATTACTTGGTTATTTATTTGGCTACATTCCTCATTCAGCTACCCCCCACTTAAAATACGTGGGGTGGACAAGGGAGAAAATTCAGGTGAAGGAAGATTCCCACTAACTGCAATCAACGGGAGGAGGAAGGCGAGACGAGCAGGAGGATAAGTAGGACGAGGAGAAGGAGGAGGAGGAGGAGGAGGCGAAGTAGGAGGAGGGAGCCATCATAGCGGAGATCACGCCAATCCAGATATGAATAATGCAAGATCATTTTGCAGCTCGGCGAGTTTTCCCCTCGCTCTTTTTTTTTTTTTTTTTTTTCACCCTTGCTCATTTTTATAGAAACACTAAACATACAAAAGTAAAATGTCAAAACTGATTAAAAAAAAAACGTATTCCAGACCATCCTTTGATGAAGATGGAGGATGAAGATGGAGGATGAAAATGGAGGATGGCGGTGGAGGGTGATTCGCAGATAGATTGGAGTGGTCAAAGAGAGCTCATGAGCCATGGAGGACGAAGAGGGAATGAAGGGAACAGGATGAAGAAAGGAGGGAGTAGATCCATGGAGGACGAAGAGGGAATGAAGGGAACAGGATGAAGAAAGGAGGGAGTAGATGGGAGGAGATGGAGGAGGAAGGAGGGATGACGTAGTCGGGATGGAGGGAGGAAGAGCGAGGAGAACGGAGGAGGAGGGAGAAGCAGGGGGATGCACGATGGAGAATGGAGGCTGGAGACGGAGGGTGAAGGAGAGAGGATGAAGATGGAGGATGGAGAAGGGAGGGGATGAAGATGGACGACGGACGATGATGGAGAAGAATGGGGGATGATGCAGGATGGAGAAGGGAGAAGGGAGGATGGAGAATGGAGAATGGAGAATGGAGAGGAAAGAGGAAGACAAACAAGAATGGAGATGAAGACGATGGAGACGGAGAAGGGAGAGGAAAGAGGACGATGGAGAACAATGGCGATGGAGGATGGACATGCAGGATGGAGGATGGAGAATAGAGAATAGAGAGGAGAATAATAATGGAGAATGACGAATGATCGATGGAGAATGGAAGACGATGACGGATGGCTAAGATCAAGTGCATTGTATCTGTTTTGATCTGTTTTCTAATATCTGATCCGAGGTCCATCGGATCAGATATTAAAATTAAAATAAAAAAAATAAAAAATAACAAACACGATGCAGGATGGGGAATGGAGAATGGACGACGGACGATGATGGAGTACAACAGAGGATGTGAAAGAATCGGGAACGGAGATGGAGGATGGAGAACGGAGGGAGGGAGGATTAAGAAACGAGGATGGAGGATGAAGGACATGGAGATAGGTGGAGGACAAGATATAGCGAATGGAGAGTGAAAGATATAAAAACGATGAAAGATGGAGAATGGACAAAGGAGGATGGAGGATGGAAGGAAGGGTGGAGGATATAAAAAATGAAGAAGAGAAGACGGATGAATGTGGCAGGAATCAAGAAGAAAAAGAGAGAAAGAGAGTGATAAACTCAAAGGTGAACTGAAAACATGAAAACCAGAGAGAGAGAGAGAGAGAGAGACAATTGCCTTCACTAAACGTTGACATGTGGCGAACGATGGAGAACCACCACACCATATCTTTCTTCTTCTTCTTCTTCTTCTTCTTCTTCTTCTTCTTCTTCTTCTTCTTCTTTTCTTCTTCTTCTTCATCTTTCTTCTCATCGTCTCATTAAGATCCATCCTCGTCATCATACTTATAATCCTCGTCATCGTCGAAATAGCAATACAATAGCAAATATGAATTGTGCTATATAACATCAACGAACGACTGGAAAAAAAAACAAGCCACTGAATCTTCTCTCACAAATCTGGGCATTAAGCTAACGAAGGCTCTCACATTCAGCTACCGAAGGCTCTCATCATCACCTTCATACATCAATCAATCGATCAATCAATCAACCAATCGATCAATCAATCAATCAATCGATCGATCAATCAATCTCGTTATCACCTTAATCAATCAATCAATCAATCTCATCATCACCTTCATACATCAATCGACCAATCTCATCACCACCTTCACACAATTAATCAATCAATCTCATCGTCACCTTCATACTTCAATCAATCAATCATTAGTGATTGTCCGTAACGATCATCGTTATTGTCGTGAGCCATGAAAATTCAAATCCTAAGTTATTATTATCATCGTCCTCATGAAATCAAAGCATCGTCCTTCGAGACATTCGTTCCAATTGGAAAGATACAGAGAAAGAGAAGATTGATTAGCATGGCCCCTGCGCAAGGATGACACCCATAAATCGAGAGCAATACAGGGAGTCGGTGGAGAGAGAGAGAGAGAGAGAGAGAGGAAAACGGGATGACGATTTACTCCATCCGAAGAAATTGAGGAGATTCTGAAAACGAAAGTGCGATCCTGGTAATTCCACTTTGTGCTCCGGGTAGACTGTGGGGACCCCGGCCCCGTACCTACGCAGATGGTTTTGTAAGGGACGCTGGGCCCGTTTCCCAGCTGTGTCGCTCCCCACAAATAGATTGGAGCCGTGTTCAATCAAAAAAAAAAAAAAAAAAAAGTGCGATCCTCATAAATTTTCTCCATCCGAAAATAAGAATATCAATTTACTATCTATCTATCTATATATATTATATATATATAAACTCCGACGAAACAATTTGTCACAGCCCCTCGTTTGTTGTCCTCTTCTCTCTCTCTGCCTACGGTTTACCGGGCAGTTCTGTTTGTGACGATATATATATATATATCCGAAAATAAGGATATCAATACATTATCTATCATATATATATTGTCACAAAATATCAGAGCGCAAATGCGAAAAAAAGGAAAGAAGGAAAGAAAAAAAAGAGAAAAGAAAAGTGAATTCAATTTTTTATCTTCTTCCTTTTAACTCCCCCTGTTCAGAACCTCTTGCGTACAAGGCCGCCCATATATCATCACATGAATATGAGAGCGCAAAAGCGAAAAAAGAAAAGAAAGAATAAAGTCGTTTTTTTATATCTTCTTCCTTATAACTCCCCCTGTTCAAAACCTCTTGCGTACAAGGCCGCC